TGTGTGGTGTGTACCCGGGGAGTATGCAGCCCATACCTGAGCCATGTGTGGTGTGTACCCGGGGAGTATGCAGCCCATACCTGAGCCATGTGTGGTGTGTACCCGGGGAGTATGCAGCCCATACCTGAGCCATGTGTGGTGTGTACCCGGGGAGTATGCAGCCCGTACCTGAGCCCTGTGTGGTGTGTACCCGGGGTGTATGCAGCCCATACCTGAGCCCTGTGTGGTGTGTACCCGGGGAGTATGCAGACCATACCTGAGTCTCATCTCGTAGGAGGCCAGTTCACCTTTGTACTCCATGGGGGTGTGGATCTTTCCTGCGGACACAGAGGACATGTCACACACACACACTATCACCTCCTCCTGCAGGGTCCCCTCCCCCCATCTGTGATGTACTATACAGCTCAGGGTGCGTTTCCGCAGACCAGCCTCCGTCCTCGTACAATAAACAGAGCCGGTCACACTCCGCTGCAATAGCAAAACTTTATTGTTCCGGACAGATCACAGAAAGTCCGCTCAGACCCTCCTCACTGATGCGTTCCATCTGAATAGAGTCTGACACAAAACGCGTCAGCCCGAGGAGGGTCCGGATTGAATTAAGCGGAATAGTGGATGGAATGCATAAAACATCTTTGCCAGGATCTGCCCCGACAGCCAACAAGCCCGGTCTCAAACGGTACTTAGAGTGTGCAAAGCCAGAGCCTTCTAATGCAGCCGCATCGTAAAAAGCCGTAAAACACTCCCGGAATGGTTGAAAGTGAATACAAATCCTGAACAAAATTTATGTTTAAAGGAGAACTATGAGGGGGAGGGGCGGGGCTTGTCACTCCTCCTCATAGTTCTAGCCGACCTGTGACAATGGGACTGTCACAGGTCGGCTCAGTAGATCGGGAACACATACCGGCGTTCGCTCACCTCTCGATCCTGTCACGGCTCTCTGCCGTGACAGGGGGGAGGGGCTGTATTCCCCCCTCCCCGCTCTGATCCGCCAGCGTTGACTGGCAGAACGGACGGGGGAGGGGCGGGGACAGCTGCCTCTAGATAGGCAGAGCCAGCTGTCAGTCATGAAGCTGGGCGGATCCAGACTCGGGATCCGCTCCGGCTGCGGCGTCTCAGTATACCGCGAGCTGTAGCTCCCTATATACTGAGCTTAGGGTGACGGGAGGACGCTAGTTTGTGTCCTCCCGTTACCCTAAGGAGAACTATGGCCCTGACCCCGTAGTTCTCCTTTAAATACCAGAAGAAATACCTTTTCATATGCCAGGCTGGTGCATGGAGGGAGTGATATTCATAAAAAGATGACACGGATGTATAAGAGAATAACCATCAATTGGATGTCAAACACGACCCCGTGTTACAAGGAGCAGGAGGAGGTGGCGGCTGGGACACATGACCTCGCCTACAGCGAATAGGAATGTGATCCAGAGGATGTCTACCCAATCCTGACTTGCTTCCACTCAATGATACGTTGCTTGTTAGATTGTAAAACATGTCATGGGGGAAATATCGATATATTCTGAATAACCGGCGGGGAAGGGAGTGTCTGCTGAAGTATAATAAACACTCCAAAACCACATTACAGCACTCAGCTCTTCTGAGCTCACCAACGCCCTCTACAGAAGGGGCAGCGAATTACAATATAAGGACGTCCGTCCGGTAAGCAACATTTTCATTGAGCGGAGGTCCAAATGGCCATCCAGTCCGTACCGCGGTCCGTCATTTAGACTGCATTTACACAAGCAGTTACACTACAAGGCACAGTGCGGGTTCCCCGGCACAGCTGCTGCGGGTTCCCCGACACAGCTGCTGCGGGTTCCCCGGCACAGCTGCTGCGGGTTCCCCGGCACAGCTGCTGCGGGTTCACCGGCACAGTGCTGCTGCTGCGGGTTCACCGGCACAGCTGCTGTTGCTGCGGGTTCACCGGCACAGCTGCTGTTGCTGCGGGTTCACCGGCACAGCTGCTGCGGGTTCCCCGGCACATAAGCATGGAGTGTCACAGACATCTCTTACAGAAGACCTTCTGACATGACAGGTCCACTTTAGGACAGCAGCACATTAGATACAACACCACATATCAGCATTGGCCCCGGAGCAGCTCTTCTCCGTCACATGTGACCTGTGCGGCCCGTGACGACTCACCTTTGATGGCGACTCTATTGGCTCTCATGGAGGTCAGCACCTGCTCCAGCTTCTCTTCGGACGCCATGTTCTGCACCTCGCTCAGGTGATGCTCCTCAAACTCCACCGGAACGTCGGCCGCCTGTCGGAACCCACGGAGGAGAGAACCGCGTGTTAAATGATGATCATCACACGTACAAAAATCACATCTGGTGGCGTGTTAGAGAAGTGCAACGTTCACATGTATGTACTGAGGACATCACGGCTGATCATAGGGCAGATTTGTGCATCGCGACAGGAGAAGGACATGGAAGGAGTTTAAAGCAAGACTCCACCTCAGTATAGATTCCCAAGAGGACAACTCGTCCTCTGCGACCCGCCACCTGGTTGAATGACGGTCAGTGTCAACTAGAGATGATGTTGGGCTTTGCGCGATCCCAGTTGGGCTTGGCGCGATCCCAGTGGGGATTGGCGCGATCCCAGTTGGGCTTGGCGCGATCCCAGGTGGGCTTGGCGCGATCCCAGGTGGGCTTGGCGCGATCCCAGCTGGGTTTGGCGCAATCCCAGCTGGGTTTGGCGCAATCCCAGCTGGGTTTGGCGCGATCCCAGTTGGGTCTGGCGCGATCCCAGCTGGGTTTGGCGCAATCCCAGCTGGGCTTGGCGCGATCCCAGCTGGGCTTGGCGCGATCCCAGCTGGGTTTGGCGCGATCCCAGTTGGGTTTGGCTGGATCCCAGTTGGGCTTGGCGCGATCCCAGTTGGGTTTGGCACGATCCCAGTTGGGCTTGGCGCGATCCCAGCTGGGTTTGGCGCGATCCCAGCTGGGTTTGGCGCAATCCCAGCTGTGTTTGGCGCGATCCCAGCTGGGCTTGGCGCGATCCCAGTTGGGTTTGGCTGGATCCCAGTTGGGCTTGGCTGGATCCCAGTTGGGCTTGGCACGATCCCAGTTGGGTTTGGCACGATCCCAGTTGGGTTTGGCGCGATCCCAGTTGGGTTTGGCGCGATCCCAGTTGGGTTTGGCGCGATCCCAGTTGGGTTTGACACAGATTGGGTTGGAAGGGGGGGGTGTGGTCAGAGTTTTGAGCAGGCTTTGGCAAGTGACAACCAACCCATTTTCAACTACAAATCCCATGGTTCTTATGGATATACCCCGGGCAATGCTTAGTCCAAGATGAAGTACTAACCGAACCTGTGACATCAATGGACCAGCAGGAGGACTTCATGGAAGACAGTGGGGGGTTGGGGGGGGTGGAGGACAGAGAGTCTATACTCACCGTGATGGTATACGCGTACAGACTATGGTGAGAAAGCGATCAGAAATCCCCTCCAACCCCATACACTGCACTAACGAGGGCCGAAAAGCCTGAAACAGCTGTATGGCGTTGGCAATAAATGGCTGGAGTACCACATCTGCCTGACCCAGGCCGGAACCGTGGGGATCACTGGGGTGCCCTCTGTCTCCATCCTGCAAAGCAGATGAAGGCATTTCAGGGCAGGGAGCCACAGACCAGAACGTACTGAAGTTCCGTTCGCTGGATAGAAGCCTCTCCTCGTCCTCTCGCATTGTAGAAGATTTGTTTAGGACAGGGATGTCCAAACTCCTGTGGTGGAACTACAAATCCCATGAAGCACCTCTCTCCGGGAGTCATATCTGTGGCTGTGAGAACCTTGCAAAGCCTCATGGGATTCGTAGTTGCACCACAGCCGGAGTTTGGACATCCCTGGTTTAGGACTCTTGGTCCTGGCGATGAGTGTTTTGATCCCACAGAGCTTCCACCAAAAGATTCCGGGACCTGAAGCCAAACCTGCCCAGTTTGCTGTTAGACCCGGAGCCGGGAGGCAACACATCCAGGTGTCCCCATCCTGTGACACAGGACCTGGAACACCTCCACGGGTAGGGACCACTCAACTGGGGGCCAGGTGCCGCCGGCTGTGGAAGTCTGCCTGCCGATTGTCCACGTCCGGGATGGAAATGGCCGACAAGGCTGAAATGTGAAGCTCTGCTCAGGACGGGATCCACCATACCCACCTGGTGAGACTGCTGGTTCCTCCCGGCCACTGCCATGCCATAGTCTGATCTGAGATCTGGGGACCCTCCGGCCGGGAGGTCCAGCGTTGCAGAGACAACCAACAACCATGCATGAGATGAAATCACTGCAACGTCCAAGAGATCCAGCTCAGCACGACAGTTTTGGCATCCATCACGAGGATCTTCCTGAAGACGGGAAGAAGAGGACTTCCTCAAGTCCTAAGCCACCACACCGGGGCCTTCGGTGCCATAAGAACGGGTCTGTCCGAGCAATGTTGTGTTTTTTCGGGGGTCTGGAGTGAACCCGGGCGAATGGAAAAGAATTGAAAGATGCTACGAGGAGCCCCTCCCCCCAGGATTTCCATCTAGAAGCGGAGATTCAGGTGACTCCTCCTACTAAAGAGTCTGGGAATGGAGAGGTTGAGGTTACTCCTGGGGAAGAAAGACTCGGTGTTGAGGAACCGGACCGTGCGATGGATCGGTTCCAGCGGGGATTTCTGAAGGTTTAGGATCCAGTTGATTGGGGCTGAAACAACTAATCAATAATAAATTGATAATAAAAATCGTTGTCAAGGATTTATATTATCGATTAGTTGGTCATTCGATTAGTTGGTCATTCGATTAGTTGGGCTGCTTGCACCCTCACTCCCTCCCTCTCCCAGCCTCACTCGCAGGCTTGTGAACACCCGTGGGGCCCCGCAATATAGCTCAATCAACCTCCTGCTTTCCAGCTCCCTTGTCAACTCCTCCCATGCTCGCCTCCAGGACTTCTCTAGAGTCTCTCCCATGTACAGGCCAGATTGGGCACAGCCCACACACACATAGGGGGTGGGGCAAACTGAGGAACATCCCACAAACACATAGGGGGTGGGGCAAACTGAGGGACATCCCACACACACATAGGGGGTGGGGCCAACTGAGGTACAGCCCACACACACATAGAGGGTGGGGCAAACTGAGGTACAGCCCACACACAAATAGAGGGTGGGGCAAACTGAGGGACATCCCACACACACATACGGGGTGGGGCAAACTGAGGTACATCCCACAAACACATAGGGGGTGAGGCAAACTGAGGGACATCCCACACACACATAAGGGGTGGGGCAAACTGAGGGACATCTCCCACACACATAAGGGGTGGGGCAAACTGAGGGACATCCCACACACACATAGGGGGTGGGGCAAACTGAGGGACATCCCACACACACATAGGGGGTGGGGCAAACTGAGGGACATCCCACACACACATAGGGGGTGGGGCAAACTGAGGGACATCCCACACGCGCAGTAGAACAGTGACATGGGTGTGGACACATGAATGTAGAATTCAGGACTACAATCTAGTGGTCATGTGACCCGGGTATGGCCGGCCCTGTGAGAGATGACTGCGGTGTGAAAGACTCGGCACGTTGTCACCACATACCTCACACTCACCTTAAAGACTTCCTTCACCGAGTGCATGAGCTCCGGACCCACTCCGTCCCCCGGGATCATGGTGACATGGAAGGCCCCCTCTGTCCGGCTGGACTCCCCCTGTGACACCCGGGGAACAAGCAGAATGACAGGTGAGCAAGCACCTCTGTATTGTCAGTTTCTCCTCAGTGACAGGTTCTCTTTAATCCTGATTGGCTGTTATAAGCCGCATTGCTCCACCCCTGATATAAGGGGGCACCCCGCAGACACGACTCACCTGGCTGTCCTGGGCTTGTTGGAGGGCTGCGGCGGAGGAGGACAGAGACCTCCGGGTGAAGGGAGAACTCCGCACACAGACGCATCTCTGCAAAGGAAGGAAGAATTACCATTACTAAGAGAAACTCCGCCCACAATGGTGATAGGGGCGTGGTCTGTCACATGACAGCAATATGGATGGATGGAGCGAGTCACGTCCATGCAACACAGGGGGCGCTGCAGGTACGGAGTCCCCTTTAGGGATACTGTGCCCCTCCTCCCGTAAATGCCGGGTGTCTGGCTGCCATTATGACATTCAGCCAGGAAACATTATATAGATGAGGAGTTCCTCCTTCACTGGCTGCATGCTGGTTGAGGACAGCCAGACACCGGGTACGTTCAGGAGGAGAGCAGGCAATGTGTACACAGAAGAGTGAAACAATGTACAACATTCATCTCCAACATCAGAGTTTCACCTGAGCCGCTGCAAACAGCTGCCTGACCGCCGCCATTTTGGAGATAGTGGTGACCCGGATGTAGAAGAGAGGAAAGTCCGATACTTCCGGTGTCCTCAACCTCCTTCAAGAGTGTAGAGACCACGCCCCTCACTACCTTTAAGTGAAATCCCGCCCCCTCACCTCTGGAGTCCTGCCTCCTTCCTATCTTCACTCTACACTACTTTCTACGCGACGTCCCGCCCATTCCAAATGAAATACCGCCCATTTCTCTTTATAAATGGATTCGGGGGGCTCCACCTTCTTATGACTTTAAATCCTGCCCCCGGACATCAGTGACAGTCGAGTGAGACAGCATTAAAGCTCCGCCCCCGTGAGATGAGTGGCAGCAGAGTGAAGCTCCGCCCCCGGTGAGATGAGTGACAGCGGGAAGACTGATCATTGAAACTCCGCCCACGGGAGATGTGTGATGGTGAGGGGTGTGTGCATACAGTGTGTGATAAATGGCGGGAACGTACAGCGCATGCAAAGACATGTCAGTGAGGTGAATATGAATCTGACACAGACAGAACTGAGACGCAATTTACTACAACATGGAGGAGGTCTCCTTCCCCTCAGTGTCCTCATCTCCAACATGGAGGAGGTCTCCTTCCCCTCAGTCTCCTCATCTCCAACATGGAGGAGGTCTCCTTCCCTCTGCTCTCCTCATCTCCAACATGGAGGAGGTCTCCCTCTCCTCATCTCCAACATGGAGGAGGTCTCCTTTCTCTCAGTCTCCTCATCTCCAACATGGAGGTCTCCTTCCTCTCCACTCTTCTCATCTCCAGTAAGGAGGAGGTCTCCTTCCCCTCCGCTCTCCTCATCTCCAACATGGAGGAGGTCTCCTTCCCTCTGCTCTCCTCATCTCCAACATGGAGGAGGTCTCCTTCCTCTCCACTCTCCTCATCTCCAGTAAGGAAGAGGTCTCCTTCCCCTCCGCTCTCCTCATCTCCAACATGGAGGAGGTCTAGGGTTGCCACCTATTCAGGATTCACCCGGACAGTTCGGGTTTTGAATGCTGTGTCCAGGTTTCATGGCAGAAGAAACCTGGACACAAGATGTCCGGCAGACAGAGGCAACCAAAATGAAGATAGGGGCTACTGGCCCCCCACTGAAAATAGTCTCTACTGTGATATTTACATATGAATGGGCGGCAATTTTTATATATGAATAAGCCACGACTCATTCTCCAAATAAAATTTCCCAGTGTCGATTGAGTGTTCGGGCTTCGCTTGAAGAAAAGGTGGCAACCCTAAGGAGGTCTCCTTCCCTTCGCTCTCCTCATCTCCAATATGGAGGAGGTCTCCTTCCCTCTGCTCTCCTCATCTCCAACATGGAGGAGGTCTCCTTTCCCTCAGTCTCCTCATCTCCAGTATGGTGGAGGTCTCCTTCCCTTCAGAAATTGCCTGAGTTTGGCAGCTCTCCACAAGTCCGAGGAGGGCCCTCCCAGTGTAGAGGTCACCTGGCTTGAGAAGTCCACAGGTAACCAAATCGTTACCAAGCAAACGTCTCAGGAGTCCAAATATGTATGTTATTAAACTACAATGACGGAAAGCAGGCAGCGGATTTCAGGGGCCAAACAATCCCGCTTCATTGGGGGCTTTGACAACAGCTGTCCCAATTGGCTGCTTTCTGCCCGTGTATTCATCTCTCATTTGTTGCTTGCCCATTGTCCCATCACATAGAGTTGCCCATTTGCTGGCCCATGTCTTGTCAGGATAGACATTGTTTGTGGGGGCCACTGCTGATCAGAAGATCGTATTACTATCATGTAGGCCTCTTTTTATCAGAGCACGCCGTACCCAATCCCTATATTTTTCGGGATGGATCGCCATACAACCAAAAACTTTGGGGTTTGAGTATCCTTGCTGAGGATTGTCTCAGTCCAATCGTTCTGAAACACAAACATCAAGTGACCCCAAAGAAAGGGTTAGAGACGGCGATCCAGAACATATCCATTGAGCAGCATCAAGGAGGCGGTGCCGGCGCTGTACACACAGGAGACGTGGGCAGATCCTAGAGAACGGTGTCTGGCCGAGGGACATCTGAGGTACGGTAATGACTGCTGCTGAGGATCGATGTGAGGGGAATGAGGTTTCTGCAGGGTGGAGGTTGTGTCCGTGATGGACTGAACCGTCACCGGGGCTGCTGGAGGAGCCTGAGGGCCGGCCTCCTTCCTACTGACTACGGACCTAGGGCTGCAGAGATTTATTACCCCGGAGAACTTTGTTTGCTGTGAGTGTTTTCCTGTTTAATATTTCATCTAGAGAGAGAGAGCAGGTCACTATTTGACTTGATTTGAACTCTCCAGACTTCCATCTTGTTTGGATACCATCTCTGCTAAATGTGTTTTTGTGAAGGCAGCCGGCTGTCTGGAGGGGCCATTGTTTGGGATCATGGGATCAAGCTCTTATCTGATTAAGGACATTCATTAGGTTCAAAGAGTGTCTGTGCTTAAGGAATTCCAATGCGGCACCCGGCTGTCTAGGGGAGGGAACACACTGCATTCCTATCTGATCCTGTGAGGTATAAACTCTGTGCGCTTCCTTCAATTAAGCAGATCTTGGTTTCCACTTCCACATTGGTGTTGTCTGATGATTGAGGAGTTTAGCTTTCTGTCCTAATACATTGGTTCTGTCCAATAATTGGGCAGGTTTGGGCTGAGGACACTGGAATTCAGGTTCCAGCGGAGAGGAAGCTGATTTCTGACGGAGTTACCCGGTCGGGGTACCAGGTGGTCCGTCACAGTGTCACCATATTATCAGATCTGTTTGGCCGGCTCGATGCTGATTGGCTTCCCGGCATGGAGGCGGCTTTCCGGCTCCATGTTCCCTCGCTCCAGAAATCTCCCTCTGACCGGAAGTTCCAGTATCTGGAAAGGTATCGGGGCATTTGGGGCAAGTACGAGTACTCGCCCAAATACTCGGTATCGGCACTGATACTAGAATCGGTATCGGTGCATCCCTAATACTAAAGATTGGCCAAGCTGCAGGCAGAGGTCAATAATTAACCAGGTTTGGCCGCGTACACTGGACAATATCATTCCACAAGGACTTGGGGCAGCTCTAAAAAGCATGATATAACTCTGATGATTACTGCCCACATTTCAGACATCTAGAGGAGCATCTGAGACCCATAAGATAGGACCTATGTGGAGAGATAGAACCTCCATGGTAAACTCTTCATACCATTTTTTTTTTTTAAGTCCATGGAACGTGCTACGAAACACCCAAAAAGTGCACAAAAAATGTGCATGTGAACACACACAAAAAAAGTGCACAGAAGGGTCTGTCAGCCCATCCATGATTGAGGAGTTTAGCTTTCTGTCCTAATACATTGGTTCTGTCCAATAATTGGGCAGGTTTGGGCTGAGGACACTGGAATTCAGGTTCCAGCGGAGAGGAAGCTGATTTCTGACGGAGTTACCCGGTCGGGGTACCAGGTGGTCCGTCACAGTGTCACCATATTATCAGATCTGTTTGGCCGGCTCGATGCTGATTGGCTTCCCGGCATGGAGGCGGCTTTCCGGCTCCATGTTCCCTCGCTCCAGAAATCTCCCTCTGACCGGAAGTTCCAGTATCTGGAAAGGTATCGGGGCATTTGGGGCAAGTACGAGTACTCGCCCAAATACTCGGTATCGGCACTGATACTAGAATCGGTATCGGTGCATCCCTAATACTAAAGATTGGCCAAGCTGCAGGCAGAGGTCAATAATTAACCAGGTTTGGCCGCGTACACTGGACAATATCATTCCACAAGGACTTGGGGCAGCTCTAAAAAGCATGATATAACTCTGATGATTACTGCCCACATTTCAGACATCTAGAGGAGCATCTGAGACCCATAAGATAGGACCTATGTGGAGAGATAGAACCTCCATGGTAAACTCTTCATACCATTTTTTTTTTTTAAGTCCATGGAACGTGCTACGAAACACCCAAAAAGTGCACAAAAAATGTGCATGTGAACACACACAAAAAAAGTGCACAGAAGGGTCTGTCAGCCCATCCCTGATCCTCCAGGGCACAAGGCTCCTGACGTGGACAAGGCACCCGTGTCCACCTGGCTGAAACCAGGCGGACTCATTCCTCGCGGTCAGCCGACCACCGAGTACACGGTTGGTAGCTTCCCCGAAGGGAGTCCTTCGATTCAGTGGAGGAAGGAACCTAAGGGCCACACATCCTCCCCCCTAGACTTCAGGGTAGGCCCAAAAACCCACACCCACCATCCTGTGGAGTGAAAAACACATACAAAATAGTGAAAGGTGAACATAAAAGTGAAGACAAATAAATTTAAAGTGCCATTGTACTAGACAAAGGCTAGGCCTTGCTGCCCGGTAATAAAAGTGACCCATGGTCTCAGCCAAAAGGCCTAGCCCAGGGGTAGGCAACCTTGGCACTCCAGCTGTGCCAAAACTACAAATCCCAACATGCATCTGCCTCTGGGAGTTATGTCTGTGGCTGTCAGAGCCTTGCAATGCCTCATGGGACTTGTAGTTCCACAACAGCTGGAGTGTCAAGGTTGCCTAGCCCAAGAGGTGATGTGCAGCAAAAGGTGTCTTGCCTTTCGCAACAGTGGGGTCCCAAACCCAAAGTAATACTCGAGCACCCCTGGGTCACCACTCCAGGGGGCGTGCCTTTCCCAGCCCATGGCCAGACAAGGTAGGCTTGTCCAAATCAGGAGGAATTGGGTCCTGCCAGATCCCAGCGCCGAGAAGTACTCCCGACCCCCACTCTATACGTGATCGGACGCTCATTCGGTTTCCTTCCCATAGCCATTTCTCTATAGGTGGACACAGTAATCGTATTCCATCCCCTATGAAAGGCTTGAAGAATCTCAGTGGTAGATATATTGGAGAAATAATTAGTCCACTTTGAGTGACCGGTGGAACGTTCCGCATGATCCAGATCTATTCTACAACACCTATAAACATCAGCTATTATTTGGACAAGATTTGGAAAGCAGCCGATCTGGGGGTTCCCCCAATCTGAAATTGAAAGGTTTCTAAGAATACGTATTGCGTAGGAGCATATTAGTAAATAATTCACAGTTCACGAATAGGAAACTCTCCGAGACGGCTGCAAAAGTCAACAACTTATGGTCAACAGTTGACGTAAGGGACTCAAACTGTTGAAAATTCCTGAGTTGCCCAGTCTTTGAAAAGCTGCTTTCTAGAGGCATGGAGGAAATCTAAAGTTCCCCAGAAAGGAAGCCACAACGAGGACGTCTATCTCTGAGCTTATGACCTATAGCCCAGCTAAAATATAAAAGAAGATTTGAGACAACCTCCTCGGGTAAACATGATCTATGCACATGAAGTATGTTTTGGCAATGCCACTGTGTAATTTGGCAACATAGTCACCCAGGACTCTCTGCCAGGGGACTGAGAGGTTCCAGAATGTTCCAGAATCTGAATAGTTTTGCAGGGAACAAGCTGGCTATTCAGTTTCTTCCAGGTTTTCTGGATTGTAGCCGGGATCTGGAGCTCTGGAGATTTCTAAGAGCTCTGTGTGACGACATGGTGATCAGTTTATGAGTTAAATGTGTATTGGTGTTGAGTTATGTTATACTGAGTAACCTGGTTATGAAAAGACTATCAGCCCCCCCCCCCCCTCTTTATCTCCCTTTGTACTCTGAAGGAGCTCAGGACAATGACCTTCTGGCCAGGCTCCTCCTATGGCTGTCTGGAGCTGTTAAGCAGGTGGACCCCTGTAGTGTGGAGCAGACAGAATGTCCAGGGAGGGCAGGGTGGATGTGATGGGATTATATTCTGATCTGATCACTTTCTGTATAATAGGTTGCACAGTTTCTTAATAAATCAGAGTTTGTTTCACCCTACACGTGTCTCGACCAGTGACTGGGGAAACTGGGAGCTAAGGATCTTCAGGTTGCAATATCTCCTGAGCAAGGAAGAATACAGCGGCGGACATACCCTTCCTGAGTACGGGG